GATCTAGCGACGTTATAGTTGCAACTCACAGCGCCGAGGATGCCGCAAGTTTCGAGGAATGCGACCAGATGCCAATCGCTGAGCACCCCTACAAGCTTTTCCCTTCTCCTCAAATCTTCGTCCCTCTCTTTGCCTTTCAAGCCTTCGCCAATCACCGCAAGAGGAAGCATCTCCTCGTTGCCCAGCACGGCTGCCAAAGATGAGCATGCACGACCCAGATCTTGGTCGTGCAGACCTTGACGGTTTTCGATGGGGAATTTGGACGAGAGGAATAGGGGCTTGGGCTCGTTCGGAAAGCCATGTGTGACCTTCGTCATAGCAGAGAGTCAAGATGAGCGATTCGTCATCTCGACCGCCCGCATCTTCAGCAGCACTCACATTTACCAGCAGATACTCGACCGGAAAGGTTGGCTTTGCGCTTTCCTTGACATCGATCTTGTACTCGTTGGTATACCGATAGAAGACCTCGGGAACGTATACGCTTCCCTTGCTCTGTTTTACTCTGATAATGTTCGGATTGACGCTAGCTTCGATCATTTCGCTTTGGACCATAGCCATGGCCTGTTCAGAGACCTGATAGGCGCTCACATCGATAGCTCCTTCTTCCGTGCCCGATAGCACGCATGTTACAAATTTGCTGTTGAAATATCCGGTATTGCTGTACCTGCTGGGTGAAAGGTTGGAGCTTTGCAGCGCAGCAGAGAAGAGCACTTCGCAGCCGCTGAGGAAGAACGAGTCTTTGTGCCTCTTGCACGCTACCATGCCAGCTTTGGAGGGATCCGTGAATGTGGGATCAGCTGGCAAAAGATCGCTGTAGATCATTCCCACGATGGACAAGCCGCAATCCTTTGCCAACTTTTCCACCCTGGCTTGATCTTCCCATGGCACGCCTAGCGTCAGTCCATCCACTTCCCCTTCTTGAGGCGGTTCGGATATCGCTTCGACGACAGCTTTGACACCCATCGGTACTTTTTCGTAAGGTTGATACCTGCCAAGCAGAAAGCCGAATCTCTGGACGCCACTCGACCTCCAGAATGCCAGCAGATTTTCGATGAGCTGAGGGTGCGAGAATTCGACATGATCCACCATTCTATACGGCTGCCTCTGCAACGTGATGGCCGATGGTTGACACTTGGTGCATATACCCGATGGCCAAGAAGGGTGTGTGCCTGAAGGGCATGGTACCTTGACCCTGTAGTCTTCTGGTTCCAAGGGCGGAATGTACGATTGAGAT